GATCCAAATGACTAGTATTTGCCTCTTCTCCGTCCTGGATGAAGACTGGAGATTCATTCTCTGGATACCATAACAGAGGGTCTCTGAACTGGGGGCCTTAAAGATACTCACTATTGCATTATTGCTGCATAATTTACCCCCTCTGCAATAAAAAACAAAACTTAATGGGATAGAACAACAATTTTTTTTAAGTTCATAGATTCTGCGAGTCCATTAATTCCGACAGTGCATGGCAAGCACAGCACGTTTCTGCCCCACATGCCTGGGGCTCCTGAAGACTCAATGGTTAGGTGCTGGAATCATCCAGAGGTGTCTCCACTCAACAGGTCTGCCTGTTTATGCTGTTGGTTAGGGCCTCCGACTGGGCTCGGTTGTCCACAACACCTCTGTGTGGCTCCCAATGTGATATCTCTGCCTGGGCTAATTTGGGCTTCCTCACAGCAAGGTGGCTGGATTCCTAAAGCAAGTGTCCATGAAAGCAAGAGAGCAGTATATGATTTTCTTGTTATCTAGCCTCTTTCAAGATATGGTATTCCAAAGAATGGACCCAGCTTATGGTTTTGAAGTATCTGCCCATATCTCAGAACAACAAAACTCAAAGCATTATCCTCCATGTCGGGGGATCGTATTTTTGTCATTTTATATTTAGGCTGAAAATTTACCACTTAAGAGTCTGCTAATTCCAGCTCCCTTACAGAGTGTTCTTGCAATTTGGATAGCCTGACTTGAGGCCACTTGAGGCATCTTAGTTTTTTGGTTAGAGTCTGCATAACAGGTAAGTGAACTGAAAGAACCCTGCTTTTCTACCCAGCCATTGTTTAAAAATATAATATTGAAATATATATAAGAACATTAAAAAAACATTATATTTAAACATGCTGTTTGTATAGAGCAAGATTCAAAGAAATAAACACTTATGTATGTTTTTAGCATTTTATTAACTAAACACTAATTATGGTTCCTAAAATTTCCTATATCTTTCTGTAGACAAAACCATGGCTTTTTTCTCTCCCCTGTTTGTCTCTCAGCTTGTATGAAACTTCACTCTGCAATGGAGTTACATAGTTGTTCTTGCAGCAATCTATAGTTGCTCACTGTTATTTTAGTCTTGTTGTTATTCCTTAAACTGAGGGAGAACTGTGAGCAGGGTGAGAAAAACATAGCAACACATCTCCTCCCCTCCTTGGAAGGGTGCCTCTCTTTTTCTTTCACAGAGCAAAAGCAGAAAAAATGAGTGTGGTCACACTACAGTCACGCAGCAGTGTTAACGCCTTTTCTCCATCAGAAAAAAAAAGTTTCTTGTGAGGCTCTCACTCCTCCCTTATACTTATAAACAACTCCTCCTTAAAACCTGAGGGGATATTTCCAGCACCTTCCATAATTTGTAAATGAGTTTTCATCATTACCCAAAAATGTACAGCCTATCATTTTTAAAGCATAAAATACTTTGAGCTTGATTTCCACTTATTTTAAAATGTTATTTTAAAACCCTCAGTTGGGTGCAACTGATCTCACAGATTCATTGCACACAAAGATGCCATTATGGAATACGTCTTTACTGTACTCAGTCACAAACATGACTGGTGATAGGTTATGGTAGAGGGAAAGATACGGAAGCGATGAGTCATGATACTTAACTGTTAGATATTTGAAAATTTGTGTGCAATGAATCTGTGAGATCAGTTTGCCTGACGGAGGGTTAAGAACTTTAGGAGTTTTTTGTTTTGTTTTGTTTTTTCAGCACTTGAAATCTCATCATCCTATGCAGTTCCTCTGTATGCTGAGTTCTGACTGGTTGATGAGATGTCATTCTACCTCTGTCCGCCTCTGCTCCTCCAGGCCACTGCCAGCTGCTGGTTTGCCCCACCTTCCCATTGTGCCACAGGTTACAGGACCTCTTCTAGATCTTCTAACCCCATTTCCATCCCCAGCACCACAAAGGTCAGCTTCCTTTTGGAGACAAAGCAATGGTGGAACCCAAAAGAGAGGACATGCCACATCTCTTAGTATTCTGAGCTGGAATCAGTTGAGAGTCTCCTCAGCCTCTCAGCTCACCATTCCCATTATGAAAATAAACAGGCTTAGTGGACACACTTTCGAAAGGGAGAATTAGAGGGAAATGAAGATTTTCTACTTGAGCTAATCCAGGTTGGGGTGGTGATGAGCACCAACAGTTAGAAGACACCATCGACCAAGATTAGAAATATGAAGGGATAAGCTAAGCTTCCTTTTGTTGTGGACAAAAGTACTAAACCCAAACTCTATCAGGAGAAGCTTTGATAACGCCACTGACAGTCCTGCTATTGCCATTTCCTGAGATGTCCTCAAGGACATAGAATACAGAGTCTAGGAGACTGTCGGATTGAGACCAGTATCTCAACAGACTTTATGGCTTTCACAGGAAGGATGCAAATATTAAGACACACCACTTGTAACTTATTTGGGAGCCACACTGGAATCAGGAAAAAATAACTTCTTATTTTCTGTGCCAGGATCACTGCTCTTACAGTAATGGAGATTAACTTGGCCAGGGGCACACATGAGAGAGCAAAATTCACCAAATTGATTAAGGCCATCTTCCTCTTTGGAAAACTATCCTAAGAAACAGATTTACCAAAATCCTGAACTACATTTTTTCTCTGAGTCTCCTAGATTAATTTAGGAAGTTATATATAAAAATAATGGGAGAAGTATTCACAGATAAGAGAATGAGTCTAGAAAAATCACTGTGGGTTGACTAGGAAGAAAACTGCCCAACTTTCTTTGGGTAAGCCTTGGAACGGTTTCAGATGTGTTTCTTGTAAAAATGTACTTCCTGCTTGCTATATATAAAAACGTTGTAACATCTTCCAGAATATATACATATATACATAGATGTTGAATGAATAATTTTTTATAATGGTGAAATATTGAAAACAACCTAAAGATCTATTTAAGTAAATTATTACAAAATATGGTATGTCTACTAAATAGAGTATTAAGCATGTACTGAAAATGCATATTTTATAACATGAAAAAATGCTAATTATACAGACATGTTAAGAACATTCTGTCTTTATCCACTGCCAGGAGCAAGGGCCCTGCCTCCACACACTGTAGCTTACAGTTCCTGTAGCCCCTTTAGAGTGAAGAGTTCTGAGAGGGAGTCTGAGAAGAAGGTGGAATTGGAAAGAGAGCAAGGGTGTAGTTTGGCAATGTGGGCCAAAACAATGTAAACATACAAACTGAGAAAACAGAAAGGGAGATGAAAGGAACTGCACTCGCTGAGCTCTGCTCGCCACCTTATCTCCTTGGGCTGTGTCTGCACCCCTGCCCCAACAAAGGAGTGATCACCAACCATCTACCATTTATTATATGCCTGATGCATGTCACACATATTCCAAGGTGTTTTAGAAACATTACTTGTAATATTTCCAACAACCTTCTGGGAATATATAACAATTTCAATTTTTTCAAGCATGAAAATAAAGGTCACGATGGTGTAAGCCACCAACCTATGATCACTCATCTGTTATGCAGAATTCAAACTCTAGTATATCTGTTGCTTAGAAAATCAGGGATAGGAACAGAAAAATGACCTTTGTTTTTTTCTTTCTCTCCACTCCCCCAATTTTATTGAGATATAATGGACACATAACACTGTGTACATGTAAAGTACAATGTATTGATTTGATTCATTTATAAATTGCAAAATGATTACCAGAAGCCACCATAATATTAGCTACCACATCCATCCTATCACATAGTTACCATTTTTTGTGTGGTGAGAAGAAAAATGACCTTTCTCACGTGATGGGGAAGTGATTACCAAACCCCAAAATAAGACCAGGGAAATGTGTAGCTGCAGGAATTTAGGAAGAAAGTCCTTTTATTATAATCCATGTTGGGCTGGCTCCTGGTGTGGCCACCTGCAAGGTGACCTTGTTATCCTCGTTTCTTTTAGTTATGTATTGAACCGACAGTAGACTTGCCACTGAGTATGGCACCACAGCTTGGCCTTTCCCTACAGTTGAGCCAGTTCTCAGGGCAGCAAACAACTACCAAACAGGAATTCCAGCTGCGACGTGTGTATCTAGCCACATGCTAGAGGCATCTGCCTCTCTGGAAGGATGTTTTCTCTGGCTCTCGAGAGAGGCAGCAAGTTGGCTGAGTTGTCTCCTTACTGGCTGGAGAGAGTCGATTGTGTATATCTCCTTCCAACCCTGTTCAATGGTGTCCCAAGGGTAGCTTGAAATCAGCCTTGGTGTTGGGATTTGCACCATGAAAATTGCAGACACTGAAGATGAAGGCTCTTATCTTGGAGATCCATAAAATTATTATTGAGCATCTCTCTGAAGACCAGAGGCCACCTGTTGGAAAGCCATTTGTCCTGCTTTGGCAAAGGCAAGGTGGTACCACAGTGGGTAATATGAGCTATGTGTGCAAGCCTATTGGGGATTTAGGGAGCCTGTAAATATACCCCTTTTTCCTGACCTATCTTTGAACCAATTCGGATATACAGAGCAATCAGGCAGATGGAGACTAATGTGTCAGCTCTATTGCTGGTAAAGGCTATGTTGGTGAATGTGGTTTAAGTGCAGGAAGAAGGACTTTCCTAATACTGCACCCCAGAATCAGGCAGAGTTACCCACCTGATCACAAGCTCACTGGATAGTCACCAGTCACCCCGTATGAAGTTGTCCAAGCGAAAAACTTACAGCACAGAGACTCAGAACAGGATGCTTGCTTTCTGTGAGCAGCTGACCCCCTAGAAGAATAAGAAAAGGAAAAGACCAAGCTCCCTTTGACTGGTTCCTCCCCTAATGTCACCAGTAAGAGTAGTCACTCCATCCGGGGAGGATTCAGTGAGGGAGCAGATAAGCAGAAGAAGCATTACTTGCATCGAGTGCCCACCACATGGAAAGAAATATCAGAGTAGGGAATAACCATTGTTGTCCAATGAAACCTAAAGACAACCAAGTGGGAAGGTGATGAAAAATGTATACTGGATTTTTTTTTCTAGGTTCACAATTTATTGTACAAATTGAGTTTCACACGATGAGTTGACAGTAGCTTCTCCAGGCATGGGAACTTAACAGATGAGGGACAGACAAGACAGTTTAGAATCCACATGTTGCTTTCACAGCTGGAGTTTTTTTAGACCTTAACTTGAAGGATGAGATCATCAAAGCAACACCTCCATCTGTGGCCAGTACACAATTCATTCTACCTGTGAGAGTATGAGAATTGAAATATTTTTTTAATACCAGTGAAATGGAATTGGGCATCAGTTACTGGACCTGCCATCATTTCAATCTTGCAAAAGGAACAAATTCTGCAGCCTAAGTGCTTCAACCTACAGAGCTGGCCAGAAGTGTCCCTGTAAGCTGGATTCTGCTGGTCTCAATCTGGACACGTCTGCCTTCCTAGTATTGATGTTTAAAAAGTATCAGCTTGTCCTGTATCTTGAGGAATATATGGTGGTATTCTTATGTGCGTGTGTTTGCACATGCGCGCGCGCGCGCGCGCGCACACACACACACACACACACACACACACACACACACACACCCCTTCTGACCATGACATTGCAGATGGTATCTACAAAAGCAACGGTACTCTATGAAAGCCAATTATGGGACTGCAGAGTCCCCTCCAAGCCTGCGTTATCCCATGCAATCTGGAGCTGAGAAATTCCTATGGGGTCTGCCTGAGAGTAAGCTTTGCCTTTCCCTCTGCTCTTTGGGGCCTTTACCCAGAAGCCTCTGGAATACAGGGTCTTTATTCTGACACCAATGACTCCAATGTTGGTGAGCTGATGCAGGCTACAGAAAAGGTGGCATTCTTCAGTGTGTCTTTACAAAGTTTTTCATTAGTGCATATTCTTCTAGCTCTCATTTAGAAAATGTGGAAATATTCTACCAGATTGCTTCTGGTATCCTGCTTGCTATAGCAGTCTAGGTCAGGGCAGCATTGAACAGTGTGGATAGGCTGGTTTCCAAACCTAACTCTTAGCTTTATTTCTGTTACAATGAAACCTTCCAAGAACTAGCTATCCCTTTAGAACAATGAAAGGGATTTAACAATTTTTAGTTTAGTAGAAAGACAATAGTTATTCTTGATGTGCTTTTATATATCCATATCCCTTAGTGCATTATTATTCAGAATACTTACTAGGTGACAAAAGATCAATGATAATTTGCTGGCTGGAATATAAAATAAGAATTGGAATCCTGTGGAATGTCTCTGGTGCAAGTTGGGTCCTGATTTCTGCCTCCTTCCACTGGCCTCACACGTCTCCTCCTGTCACAAGATGATCTAGAATCTCTTCGGGGTCTAATTATGTGTGAACTATAATTTTTAAAGCTTTAGAGTTCAATTAAAGCCAAAATGGGAATGCACTTTAGATTCTATGGTTAGAGCCTTCCTGATTGATTGCATTAGATGAATACCTCTAAAGAGTCTCTTATTTTATTGAACATAAGCCTGAACTTTATACTGAAACTTGGCATTTGCCTGTTCATCTATTCAACAACTGCTTATTGAATGCCCATCATGTACCAGGCTCTGTGCTGGGCACCGAGCATTAATGTATATACTCAAAGAGCGGAATGAAGAGAAAGAAATGCAGGCAAATCATTACAATTTAACAAGCATTGTAATGGTGGATTACTGGAAACAGTGGAAGGATGGAAGAGAGACATAAGATTGCATGGCTGAGTCAGGAAGCACTTGAGCTAAGCTTGAAGAATGAAAATAACGTTTTCAAAAGGACAGGTAGAGGAAGAGCCTTCCAGACAGAGTGGAAAGCACCAGTGCCTTAGAGAACATGGTATTTTGGGGAGCTAAGAAAAGTTCAGTATTGTTGGAGAACAAAGGGCAAAGGAACAGGAGGTGAGGCTTACAGTGTGCAGGTACTGTTCTAACTGCGTTATACTGGTTAGCTCACCTAATTTCTACAGCACTGTGAGCATAGTACTCAGCCTCATTTTATAGATGAGGAAACTGAGGCTTAGAGGGTTATATAACTTGCCCAAAAGTTACTGGCCTACTAGATATTCATGCTGAGTTTTGAAACCCTCCCATAAAAGTAACATTATTAATCACTATACAAAACTGCCTCCCTCATGCTTATCTTCATATTCCAGCTCATAGACAAACGTTTTTGATTTCTGTCTCATCAAGTAGCTACCAAAGTCCCTGTTTTTAATCAAGATATTTTTATCCACAAGGTCAGCCAAGATAGCTGGTGTGTGGAATGCAGTCATTTTACAACATCATCACTCCTTGGCTAAAAAGGAATGCAGATCAGACCCCATTTCTCCAAACACAACAACCACTGTATGGCAGAGGAATTTCAAGTTCAAATCCGAGACTCAATAAATATCAGCTAATCAAATGGTAACTCCACCAAAACCTGGGCACACCTTTAAAGTAGCTGTAGCAGGGTTTGAGCTGTCAGTGGGAGGGGGGTTTGGAGAGAGCTGTTTGAAATTAGAGGAACAAGTATGTTTATTGAAAAGCATGAGAAAAACGGGTGCCTTTAGTGCTCTCATCACTCTGCTTCTCACGAGCCTCTGTTCTCCTAACACCTGACCCTGTGCAGGAAGAGCTAGTCAGGCATGATGGGAATCCCAGCGAACCTACCGCTAAGATCTTAAGTTTGGTCACTTATGACACTGTGGGAGCTTGGGCAAGAAACTTTCTTTTCTTTCTTTTGTTTTTAAATTTCCTTGCTGGTGTAGAAGAGTGGCTGAAAGTGCAGATTCTGGGGCCAGACTTCCAGAACTCAAATCTGAGCTTTGCCATTCCCCAACTAGTGCCCTTGGGCAAGATATGGAACCGTTTGTGCATCGGATTTCACATAAATCACGGATAGTATTAGCACCTACCTAACGGGGCTGCTGGGAAGAGTAACTGAGATCATCTCTAGGAGAATCTTAGAATGGTGTCTGACAGAGAAAGAATACAGTAAACGTTAGCTTTCATCACTGTTGTTTTCTTCTTGGTTCAGGCTTCCCTGCCCCATTCAAGCCTAAGGGCTCCTTCCTGGAGAAATCATTCTTTCTCTTTAAATTTTTTTTCTACTTGAGGAAGGCCAATTTTAACTTCTGTGCACTACAATATACTTGCTGGCATTGCACTGACGTGTAGCTCTGCAAGAGCCAGACATCCAGACTTGGCATGACACGTCTGGCACTCGGTGTCCTTTGTTTGCTGCAGTATCTCAAGACCAACAGGAATCCATTTTGTTCCAGACAAACAATGGTGACCTTATTTCCTGTTCTCTCTGTGGTGAGAATTATTGTCTCTTTGCCATAACCAAACTTTATGATCTTCGTATAATAGAAAAACAAATATCAATGAACTTTTTATTTGTTTCTTTTAATAAGGGGAAGCCTACTACTTTAAGCTGACAAATTCTACTGGCAATAAATCATATTGCTATGGAAACCATGCCCAATCATCACTGACGTGGTAGCTATACATGTTCTTTGAACGTACATGCTTTAAGCATTACATTTTAGCACATGCTTGGCTTTCAATTCTGTTTCCATAGTGTTAGACTAGAGCCCCTCTGCTGACTGCTTCTCTGTTCAGTCTTTTAGGATTTCTTGCTATCTTTGAGATGCTGAATCTTTGGGATGTTGAGTCATGTACTGGAAACCACAAAAATCTTGTGATTAGTTCTAGCTATGCTACTTCTGTCTTGGGGCAGGCTTTCCAGTCTTTGTGATTCAGTACAATTATAAATCCTCTAGACTATAAAAATAAAGATAATATCTTGTAAGGCTTGGGTGAAGATCAAATAAGGTGATATGTACATAGGTATTTAATATATTCTAAAATGCTACTTAAAGCTAAACAGTTTTGCTTTCAGAAATCCTACTCACTGCATAAATTACATATTCCAAGTAATTTTTTAAGTTTCTATTTCTTCCTTTGTGTTCAGGTATGAGAAATATGAAGACGTAGGGTGTGAATGCAGACATACTCAGATGAGACTCCCAGCAACACTACTCACAATCTGTGTAGTCTTGTGCAGGTTACATAACCTCTCTAAGCTTTACTCCCCGCCACCCCGGCTTTAAAATGAAAATGATAAAATTTATATCCAGGGTTATTGAATAGGTTAGAAAAAAACAATTACATGTCCAACACAGTGCTTGCAGGTAGTAAGCACTTAACAATGGTACTCACTGTTGGAAATAATGGTGCTGTGCCCAAGTTGACACCACTAAACAAATTTCGAACTACTCAGCAGTTTGGAACTGTTTTCTCTCTACCAAAGGGAATTCCGTTTTTCTTAACACCTGAAAATTCTCACTCATTCTTGAAGAGCATTTATTTAGAAATAACAATTACTATGAATTCTACAACACATATTTATTGAGCATCTACTAAGTGCATAGAAAGATGAATAGAAGGACAAGGTTCTTGCCCCTCGTGTATCATAACCGGTGGGAGTAGAGCAAGCATACACACAAGTAACTTCAACGTCAAAGGTAACTCATCAGTAATACTCATATAACAGGTAGCTCTGGTGAACATTATAATACAATTAACAAGAAGACAGAGCTGAACTCTTTTAAATAGAATTTCTTGCGTAAGAGTCCATGAAAACTCGGAGCAAGAGAAACATACTAAGACATAGATACTAAGATCCAGCAGTGAAACATCTGTCCTTGCAAAGCTTTGGAGAGTCTTTGGCTGACCCTGAGGTTGAAGGCTGAATGGGAAGAGAGAGAGAATGCCAGTGATTATGCAGAATGCCTTTGGGCCTTATTCAGCCTGGTAATGACCCTCTGTACTAATACAGACACCAACACATTCAGTTTGGATAGTAGTTGAATATATATGTTCTCCTTGGGCCAGAACTCACCCTTATTGGCGAAGAAATAGTTCTAAATTGAAGTAGACCAGTCAGCAACTCATTCAAGGAAAGTTAAGTCAGAGCCAAAGAAAGAGAAGGAAGCATCTTCTTTTCAGTTTTGGGGGCTGTCAGCTTGGCTTATTTAGCAAGTTAAATGTAGCTGTACCTTAGTTATAAAGCACATAAATAGCACACTGGCCATGGATCAAATATAATGAATTTTAATAAAACTTCTGAAACAGTAGCAAAAATATACATGTGCCCTTTTCACAAACACACACATGCACACATACATGTACAAACACACATGTGTGCACGCACACACACATGCACACATGCGCACGCGTGCGCACACACACACACACACACACACACACACACACACACCTGGACCCTGGATTAGGATGCTCTCCTCTGCCCAGTGAATTATTCT